ACAAAGTGTATCCATTAGTTTACACGCTTGTGACTTTAGGATTAACTCTTCCGGTTGCTACGGCTACAGTTGAAAGAGTATTTTCGGCTATGAATATTGTGAAGAATCGACTGCGCAATCAGATTGGAGACCAATAGATGAATGATAGTTTAGTTGTGTATGTTAAAAAAGATATATTTAATGAAATTAGTAACGAGACTATTATACGGTGCTTTCAAAGTATGAAAAGCCGTCAGGAACAATTGTAAAAAAAGTATTACATTTTGAATATTATCTTTATTGTCTAATTTGAAATTATTTATTACGTAATTCTGTCTCGCCTCCCCTGAAACATAATCCTGGGTCCGGCCCTGTGTGTAACCAAAGTGTATTGTCATTTGGTGTCCATAGATTTTTAATCTTTGACCTCAACGATATTTGAACTTATGCTTAATTTTTCATCTGCTCATAAGCAACTGTTTATTATAAACAATGTTAATGTATCTTCCACTTAGCCGCATTCCCTCAGGTCATAATATTATTGTTTAACACTAATGTGCTGCATAATTTAAACTAGTTATCAATAAGGAAAACAAATTTTGCTATAGAAAAAAATATCATTTTTATTAAGACGGAACAGGAACAGGTATATGTATACTCAAATAATATATCTATACTTAGTTTTAGAAGTAAACAATAAATAATCTCTGCTCTAGATCATGCGTTTATAAATCTTTAAGGGTTACTCAATTGGTCAAGTTTTGGGTTTGCTCTCCAATGATCATCAGTTCAAGTCCCCTCAAGGCCATTGAGGTGAGTATCCGACCGTAAATTTCAAGGCCCCGTGAGATTAGTCGAGATGCGCGCAAGCTAACTTGGACATCCACGATTATAATAAAAAAAAGATCATGCTTTTATAGCCCAATTTCTTTGCCTTATGAATAATGTAAATATGCAAAGTTGTTCTTTTATCAATGCTTTATATGTTGCATGTAAAAGATAGTTGCCAAATTATTGGTTTAAAGATTTCATTTCAAAAGAAGCGTTTATCATACTTTTCATAGGAATTAATTTGAAAAATAGAATCTTATTGGATTACATAAGATTTCAATACTAAATCACACTATAAAAAACTAGCAAGAAACCAATAATTGCCCCACCGTATAATCTAGGGGAAAAATTCATAAATAAGGTGTATACTTTACACCAATTCAAAAATCAAGTTTATAGTTTGAAAATTCAAAAATCGGATTTTTTTTTTACGAAATAATAAATTATTAAATNCAGATCAAAATTTATAGGTCACATATTTTTTTACGGTCACGAATTATATAATTTTATAGGTCACAATTAATTAGTTGGTCACAAATTTCAAAATTAGTTGGTCACAGATCAAAATTTATAGGTCACACAGTTACATATTTCCAAATTAATTAGTCACAAATTTTTTTACGGTCACGGATTGTATAATTTTTAGGTCACATATAACAAAATTGCTGGTCATGAATTATATTTTTAAGTCACATATTACCGAATTTTGGTCACATACGCTAAATAGTGGGTCACATACCACAGCCACTTGCGACCACCCTCACCACGATACCACCACAACACCACCACTGCTACACCACCACCACCACCAATGAAAGCCGCCACTCCACAGCGCCACCACCAACAAAACTGGCACCACCAGATCCAAAAAAAAAAAAAAATCCCAAACCCGTAACCAGATCCAGCACCATCCCTGTCCTCTCAACAACACAGACATCACCGCCATCGCACCACCAACACCACTACCACCTCACCACCAAAACCAATGCCTCACCACAGACACGATAGCAGGAGGCCCATCAAAGGTTCACATCACATTTCTCCAAAAATTGGAAAATAAATATCTAAATGATACTATACATTTAGAATTTTAAGAAGGAAATAACAATCTGTAAGTTGATAATAAGAAGGACACATGCATAGAAAGGAAAGAACAAGAGAATAAAGGAAGACAGGTATGTGGCTCTAGAACTGGCAATCTGATAAGATTTTTCCTCTTATTTTGGTTTAAAAGAACAGAGCTCCTTCTTACAGGAGTAAAAGCATTCAAGAAGGTAGGACACCCATGACTTCTATTGTGATTTGATAATAATAGAAGGTAGGACACGGTAGCAGGATGAGGGAAAAGCATTCAAGAAGGTAGATAGGCACAGACACGGTAGCAATTGGAAGGTAATTGCAGTTTTCCAAAGAATAGAAAGGAAAAAACATTAGATCTCTCGCCACATTGGAAGGTAATTGCAGTTTTCCATTCCCTTCCAATTTCCAATCAGAACTAATACGCATAGATAGGCACAGACAGGGTAGCAGGATGAGGGAGAAGAGAGGAGCGGTGATGTTGTCGCTGCTCGTTGTGGCGCTGCGCGACGAACGTGCATTGCTGCTCGTCGCGGCGCTATAAATGATCGTCGGAACAGCCTTCTACTTGTTGTCGACGGATCTGTCGGAAGGAGATGATGGAGCCGCCCAAGGGAGTGGAGTGAGAGAAGGAAGAGAGATAGTAGGAAAGAAGAGAAAGGCGAGAGGGGGAGAAATGATTTGATAGAATTAGGGTTTTAATATTAATATATTTATTAAAATATAAAATTATTACCTAATAACTGAATTATGATTAAAAAACTTCAGCACCTGACATTTGCACTATAAACTTTAAATGCCTGGAGAGATGTAATTTCCTCATAATCTAGCAATCAAATTCGGGTAGGTCAAAAATGGGTCAGGTAAATCCCATCTATTTATCTAAACAGAGAGTTAATTCGATTTTAAGCCCCCTCTTTCTGTTGAATCATCTTCGTAAACCTAAATTTTTTATTTTGAGGATTTCAAAAATAAAATAAAATTGACATGGTTAATTAAAAAAAAAAACAATATTTTTTCTTCATTAAAAGACTAGTAAGGATATTTTCAAGATTATAAAATCTTCCAAAGCAATAATTAGCATATCAAAAGTTTGGCAGCAATGTATGGATAAAGTTAAGCGGTTGGTAAAAAATTTTCTGGAGGCAAAAGTTTAGATAAATAGGATATGTGTGCGGGTATGTCGACTTCGGTTTTTATTTTTAGGTTTTGTTATATTTTGATTTTGTTAAAAACACAAAAAATAATTATATTTTCTCTCTTTCTTTTCAATTATATATCTTTTCACTTCGAATTACATTTTGTAGGGACTAAAATTACAAATAGTGAAAGGAAAATTTTCCCCTAATCATTAGCCTAGGTCAAATATTTTTTTCGACAAAAGATATATCTTGCCCATAAATCTTTTTATTAGGAAAAAATACTATTTTTTTGTGGACATAAGTCTTCACACTACCAGCGGCGGATCCAACACCTGACGAGGGGGCGCGACTACGCGTGCTAGGCTCTACCGAGACAGTGGCTTGGTGTCAGTGGAAGGAAGGGGGAGAGGAGAAGAAGATGATCAGAATTCTTTCTGGGTTCTTTTTTTAAGTTTGGGCTTAAAATGATGTGGGCCTTTTTTAAAATAACCAGATCCAATCCAAATTCAGTTGATCCATTACCATTATCCATATACATACCGTGATCCATTACCATTTCCATATGACCGATGAAAGTGAGAAGAAAACACGACGTAACGTACGCACGCAGAGTCGTAGATGGCAGAAGGACCGCAATCACCGCACCGCAGTGAGCTTAGCTGGGACTCCGAGTTCGGACTCCTGTGGTTGTGGGTTGTGACTTGTGAGCAGAAAGTCAGAAAACCTCATCCACCACTTCGGCACCTGCTATGAGCAAAAAGCTAGAAACGGAACTCGGTTACTCAGACGAACGTCGGACAGAGACAAACCTCCCGACTCGTGAGCTGCAGACATCAGTGGACATACACTCGACAGTGAGTCTCCTTCATTGTTCTTTTATAGATTTTTTTTTGTTGGCTTTGGAAATTTGGAATTGGTATTTGGTGTTATTTTTTATTTATGACTTACAAGTTATGAATAATGATTTATGTTCTATGACTAATGAGTTAATTGGTAATTTGACATTCAAATGAGAATTGTGATTTGTGAATTTGTGATTTGGGAATTTATTATTTATGTTTAGGAATTTAGGGTTTAGGGTTAAAAAAATTCAATTGAGAATCTGTGATTTAGGATTTAAGGTTAATAAACGATATCGCTATTACGATCGTTGATTGTCAACGGTCAATATTAAAGGTCCACCATATCAGAACTTTGACCCTGGATTCACCCCCGCACACTACTAAAGAATTTTGAAACAAATCATAGCCCTACGAAATGTCACTTTTGTGAAAAAAAAAATTTAATTGTGCCTACAAATCTTAATTTGTCTCCCAATTTTTTTTGTAGGGGAAATATAAATTTTTCGTAACGACATAATAGATGTTGGCAACATATGATTAGATAGAAAATTTGACTGTATTTTAAACATTCCAATGATAAGATGTCACGTGTGATTATGTCAACCATTACCTTATTGTAGCATGGTTCAATTCTGACAATCAAATCCTTCAACACACACATACACAAGGCTTTCCATTCAGTTTCTTTAGCAAACAAAACAAACTAAAATAAAGCTACAACTTTTTTACTCAGTAATTAAGTATTTCATGTATATAAAATTCCTGTGTTCTCCGAGTGTACTTGTTGGAATTGGTGACCCAAATTAGGATTACAATATGAGAAAAACCAATATTAAGTTGGAATATTTGGGAATATATTTTTCCATCTTTGCACGTAT